ATTTTGTCCAAAATTTATAGGTTTTCAATATTTTATCTTCCCTAGAACTATTCGATATGAATTAAAGGTCAGTCGGAACATTCAGGGCTTTGCCCTGATATACGAGCAGTCTTGTTCACTTCGTTGATCCAAATTTGAAGAAACTGACTAAATACTCTTGCGAGCGCAGTTTTTTTTCCAATTCTGAGATTAAATTAGACATTCTTTTAATACAATCTGAAAGATATTGTTAACTCGAGCTAAAAATTTTAAAAAAAGTTTTTTACGTGAGATCGATTTTCTGAAGGGCTTAGAAAAAAGCCATTTTGACTAACTTTTGATAATTAACGCGCAATTGAAATTGTTCATGTAACCTATGAGCGGCCAGCTAATATGGCTCACAGCTTTCCAACTGAATCGCAGCAAACCATTTGTGAAAATGGATGCGTTAAGTTAGTATATGACAAACGCATTACTATGTACTTAGCATTGCGTAGTGGGGGAAGAATGACAGAAAAAAAAACATTTAAAATGTTGAAATTTTTTCTCTGAGAGATAAATCCCAACAAAAGCAACTTTAGAATCCTCACAGGGCAGTCGAAACATATGGTTTATGCTCATATTAGAGCAGTTTTGTTTTTATGTGTTCTTGATGCGTTTATTTTATTGTTTTGACTATTTTCGAAGAAAACAACGGCATATTTGTGCTCGGGGTGGTTTTTTCCAGACAAATTCCGAGTTTTTAACTAGAAATTTTTGACTGAATTTTTTATATCATTCTTAAGGTCTGGTTGGTTGTCTTCAGCTCAAATTTAAAAAGGTTTTTCACCTGTGACAATTTTATTGTAAAGCTTGAAAATTGGAGTTTAAAGATGGCTAATATGGCCAACTTGGAACAAATAACACGCAAAATTTTTGCGCTATTAATGCGCAAGCGGATTTGTTATCTTCAGGGCCTTAAAGTCACTCCAAATTGGTTGAAGCAGACTAGTTGTCATAATTGCTATATTGCTAGGAGCAAAATGTATCAATTTGTACTTAATACGGCGTGTGGTCTCAAAAAAATTTTTAATTGAAAAATTCGTCAATTTTTAGAAAACAAATTGCTCCATAGACATTAAAAGGCAGTCGGAACATTCAGGGCTTCGCCCTGATACCAGCAGTCTTGTTTGACATTCGGTTTCAATTGTTTATCGCACTCCGTATGCCCGAGGTTGCGGGGCTATAAATGCGACCATAAACGAAACGCTACCAAATGTAAACACAAGTACCCACCGGCAGAACAATGCAACACACAATAAAGACAACTCTGCCCAGCTAGCCCACATACACAAATGTATCTTACCAATTTAAGTACATATGCAACACAGAATTTAGATATTTCGAGCCCGGAAGAAATAAATCTAGATCTGCACTGCGATTTTCAATTTACAAATTGCACTGCTACCTTCATAACATTTGCATATGTTTAGAGGGATCTGATTTTGATCTCCTAGGGGCTCTCATTTGTCACATTTTGTCTGTTTTGCATTTTTAATGAAAAAGAAAGAACGAAATTGAGGTTTCAAATGAACTTGACGGATCAAGTGAACTATCTCTGTACCCCAAATCAGTTTAAGGGGATGATTAGATCGTTCATTTGAATCTGAGAATATAGGCCAATCAGAATTCACCATTTTGAACCAATTTATTTAAAAATACAAAAGGATAAATTGGTCATTCATTGACGGGGGGATAGTTCTTTTGGGCTAAAGGGGAAAGTTATTCATTTTGTTCAGTTGACAAGTGGGGACCTGTTTGTGATTCCTTAAGGAATTCGTTAAAAAGTATAGACTTTTTGACCACCATCCTGATTTAGAGTTTACATATTAAATAGTTGCATGTAAATTGCCACCTATTTGGATGAATTAGCTTTACTTTCTTTTAAGTTTGAATAAACTTTCAAGATTAAGTGTTGCGAGTAAAAAATGTGAATACATTCGGAAGCGATATATTTATCATCTTCTGGGTCATTAGGGGACCGCCTGTGAGTCGATTAGCATGCCGCCCATTTAAAAGATTGCAGCTGAATCTTTACCTGCTTCGAGATATGTTCACTCAAATTTGCGATATTAAACTGCGTGCTGTTTTTGCTGAATCTTTCTACCAGTGAAAAAAATTATACTATTGTAACAAATCAAACGCTTTATACACTCATTAAAAGTTTTGGCAAGTGTCCCCCATCAATTACCGCATGTTAATAGGCACACATGCTTGTTGCTACGCCCCGCCTCGTTATTTAGACCAATGTTAAGCGAAAATTCAGTTTGGATTAAATGCTGAGTGGAATAAACTCTCAGCATACGCCACGCGTTAGAAAAGTTTGAAATATTGCTCGCACTAAGGCCCCAAAGATTTCTGCTGCTGTGCACAGCAAATTCTGCTGCCTCACAGAAAAATTCTGCAGCCTCACAGAAAAATTCTGCAGCCTCATAGAAAAGTTTTGCTCTGTGAAAATTCTCATTATTCATGCGTTTATTTAAAAAAATACTGTTTTTGTTGCTTTTTGAAAAACAAATCAGTTTGAAAAACAAGCAGAAAGTTTTCAGGAAGCGAAATAGTTGATTGGAAGAGTCACGGGTCGCAAATATATTCTTTTTTTTATCGTTGTTGAGAAAAAGTGCAGTTTTTATTATAAGTTTAGTCGGTTAGAGCATATTTATATTTCCGAGACTAGAATTGCAGCTTTCTTATTATAAAATTTTTGAGAAAACCGACAATTATGCCTTCTGATTGAAATTCTGTTCTATCTGCTGCTCTAAAAAATGTTCTGCTCTAAAAGATAAAATCTGCCAATACTGCTAAATTCTGTTGCTGGCAGAATCTTCCGGGGCCTGGCTCGCATTGGTATTTTCAAATAAACCAAATTCAAACTCTCATAACTTCACAAAAATTAAAAGTTAGATAAAAAACAAGTTTATTGTCTAAAGAAAAAACGATTCATTGCATGTAGGTTTTTATAGTTCTACTCATGCATGATTAAAAATTAAAAAACGTTTTCAATGAACTTACAAAAATATAACAAAACAAACAAGACTGCTCGTATTAGGGCGAAGCCCTGAATGTTCCGACTGCCTTTTAGGGTTTATGGAGCAGCAGTAATAAAATTTAAAAAATTAAATGAAATAAAAAAATGAAATTTTTTTTTTCTAAAATTTGAAACTTTTTGTGAAAATCATCACCCCACACGCCATATAAAGTACAAAAATGATAGATTTCGTTCCTTGTAACAAGACAATTATGCAAATAAGCTTCGTTCAACCAATTTGGAACGATTTATAAGACGGATTAAATCTCCGCTTACGCGTTAATAGCGCGAATTATATCGCGCGTTAATTGTCCCAAATTGGTCAAAATGGCCAAAATGGCAATCTTTAAACCATCATAACTTTACGAAAAAAGATCACAGGTGAAATATCTTTTCAAATTTAAGCTCAGGACAACAATATCTTTCGAATGATATAAAAAAATTCCGTCAAAAATGGCTAGTTAAAAAGTCGAAATTTGTCTGAAGAAAAAAAAACCCACCCCGAGCACAAATATTCCGTTACTTTCGTATCGAAAGTCGGAACAATAATAGCTGTGGCTACATTACAAAATAGTAAAAGTTATTTAAAATGATATTTAAAGTAAAGAGAAAAAAAGATCAATCAATCCAAACTCTGGTGATCATAGATCTGTGATCAAAAAAGTTGGAATAAATTAGTGCCGAAAAATTATGCAAAATGTTTTTAAAAACATTGTGCTAAGTTTTCTGACAAAAGTTTAGCTTGAAATCATTTTCGTACGACAAACCAATGGAAAGACAATAGAACCAATTTTTGCTCACGATTTGCAGAAATCTAAACCTTGTACTTAAAGCAAAAAAAAAAACAAACACTAAATTTTGATTTGAATTTTTTTACTGTTTAAAAAAGAAAACGGTAAGAAGTTTTTTAAGAAAATGGAAAAGTTTAACTCGATTTTTGTTTCAATGAAGCAAATTTTGTTAGACTTTTTTACAGTCAAGGGCGGATTTAAGGTGGGGCGGGGGGTGTCCGTTCGTGCATTCTCAGGGCTTCGACCCCCTCACCAGCCAAAGGATCTCCCTTTGGTTTTATTTTAAGATATTTATTTTCGGCCGAGCAACCCTACAATTTTTCTAGAGGCGCCTTTGGTAAAAATTTCCAAAACTGCCCATAAACGGCCTTTTTAACATGTTTTGTTTTCAAAAATTTGCCTGCGGCTCAAAATACTTTCGAAATAGTGTCTTTATAGTTTTCTGGGTGTGCCCAAAAAACCAATTTGATCGACCAAAAAAAGGCCGAAAATTTTTTAGAAAAATTTTCGAAAGTCCGTCCCTTCGAGAAAATCCTAGATCCGCCACTGTTTACAGTGCTTATATACTTCTGTCTGTAATTATTGAGCAGAAACCACCTGCTCTTTTTTTGCGGTCTCATACAAAAAAGCCAGCAAATTTGCCAGAAAATTTCCAGGAACAAGTTGCATTACTTTGCAAGATTGATGCTGTAATTTTTTGACTTCCTGATTACAGATCTATAGCAACAAAAATTTTTTTAATCATTTTTTTTCACATTTGCATAAGCAGTTCTAGCTTGATTTGTTTGATTAAAAAATTTGACGAGAAAAAAGTAAAAACAGTCTGGGAGTAGCTGACTTGCTATCAAAAAATATTAATTATTCAAAATGTTTTTTTTTCTCGACACTGAAGCAATTTTTTGAAACTTCATCATGGAATGCGAAACACGACTAAAATGAACATTATATTCCCATTGATGTCCTAAAACTGTTCTTTAAAATGATTCTGCGTGACAAAAAATCCATTCCTATATTTTCTGATCACTTCAATGCAAGAGAGTAAATGATCAAAAAAGGTCTTATTTACTTATTTAACCTGTAGAGGTCGCAGTTTGAATTTAGATATGATTTCTCTTGATTCAATATTGAATTTTTTTAGGAATCGTAACAAAAAATTGACTTACTGTCAGCGCATATTCTAGAAATGAGAAGCCCCAATGTTGTAAGCAGCACCAGTAGAAAGTAATTCATTTCTAGATAAGTTGGGGGGGGGGGGGGGATAAATGGTTATAAAATCGAATCAAGGAAAGTAAGTCAGAGCGAATGAATGAATGCAGGAGGATAAAACAGTACCAAGAAATCGATAGGGGGTTCGATTGAAATTGGGTTATGGACTATAAATCTGCATTTTCCGACTGATGGAGATTGAGATAAACAATGGAGACAATATTTGGGATTAAAGAAATTGAGTTATAAATAAATTCGGGTAGAAATATAAGATGTCCAATAAATTAGATTGCTATGGCTTGGTTATCCTCCGTTCTCCATTGTAGGTTCATATATAGTCACGGTAATCATGATTGATGTTTATGGCGGAGTTGGTAAATATTTGGAATGGAAAGTGAGAACCCCGTAAAACACGCTTCTTCACAAACCTAAACAGAAGACTAAGACAACTCAGAGCGGGAGGATAAAAGCGGCGGACGGATTACCGGCTCACAAATAATATTCTAATGATGAAAGAAAGTTATAGAGTGTTTAATTCAAAGAAATCATGTCCCAAGTCAGCACGATACCTGGTTGAAAAACGGCGCTGCTTTCTTAGTATTCTTTTCTTCTTTTCATTATAAATACAATTTGTAAGTCAGATAACTGTGGATGCAGTTTTTAAGATCAATTTCGAACACTTGAGTGATTTTTGTCATCAGATGGTGTGAAATTTGTACACTATTTCCTCTCTTTTTAATGCTATCTTTGCACATTTTACTTTTCCGTTGCAATAGATTAGTCTAATTCTGTTTTTGATGGTAACCAATCGTGACATGGCAGAAAATTAGATTTTACAAAATGAAAGACTTAAGTAAAAAAGTGTTACTATCTTTTTTCTTCTATTTTTGAAATGAAACAATAGAATAGAGTGAATATCTTGTCCTAAAATGTAGTCAACAAAAAAGATTTTAAAAGGACCTTCTTTATCAGCGAGGATTTAATCTGATAGCAGTAGCATATTTTTTAAGGAACGACTGATTTTTGTACTTTCTTTGGCTGATATATAATTTTGATGATAAATTTGGAGCGATTAAAGGACCGCTAAGATCGGATTTTATATAATTGACTAAGAAAACACATTTTTGAGAACACTAATTTTCATAAAAAGAAAAGCTTCAGTAAAAATAAATCCGTTCCTATCTCGAGTTTTCTGCGTCTGTTTTTAATAGCGTGAAAATTCTTTGTGTTTTTACCAACATGCTTAAAAAACAATAATCCTCAATGCCACATGGGACACGAATAAACCAACATTATGCTCTAAAAAAGAACACATGCTAGTTGGAATGGCAATGGGTTGATTTGATTCATTGGGCACAACCATTACCGGTGGGATTGAAAACAAACGAGCCAACTAACAAGTAAGTCGTATCAAAATTTGAACCACCTGCAGGCAAGTAATAAGAAAGGGTATCTATTTCACCCTACCCCCCGCAGTGCTTGTATCGACTAGTTGGATCGGACAGCTCACGGGAAAAAGGGACAGATTTTGGGGGAATGAAAACAGGACACCAATAATAATGGGTTAGCTGGCCCAAATGACAAATACAGATCATCGACTGAAATTGTTTGGCAAACAAATTTCAAGTTGGTACAGAACAGACAGAAAAATAAAGACGTTGAGCAAAAAAGGAGTTCATTTGAATAAAAAACAAATCGATAGTCAATATTTTTTTTTGCTCCTGGACTTGTTAGTAAATACCAAGCTTGTTTCATAAAAAAGAGCGAGCTTTAAAAATAAAGATTCTTCAATGAAGGGTTGAAGGGTTCCAACAAAGAAACAAAGGAGCTAACTGCAAAATGAGTTGGCGCAGTTGTGTGAACCCTGAGAGCGGAGTGGATTTTCTGAGTATAAAAAAGAGAAGAGAACTTGTGGTGCTTCTTCTGATGTGACCACTTCAATATGTTCTACTTCAAATTGAAGGAAACAGGTTAGAGCAAATTGGGAGGAGAGAAGAGAAAAGCTAAAAAGCATAAAGTGTTGCAGCTAATCGCGAAAGTAGACTGGGATATTTCAACATCCACACTCTTAATGAAAAAGAGGAAAGCGACTGACTGATCGAAAGAGAGAGAGAGAGAGAGAGAGAGAGAGAGAGAGAGGAGAGGGTTGCAATAGGCAGTAGCAGCAGCAGCAGTAGCACAAATAGTGATTAGCTGATTAGAAGAAAGGAATTTAAGCGCAATTTGAAACTCCCTGAGGTAACCAACTGAAAAGCAGGCAAAGCAAAAGAAGAAAAGAGGAAATAACCATGGCATAAGGACCAAACGGCAGAAATATTCCATCCAATCATAAGCTTTTAAACTGTTTCAATCTCGGACCAAAATGTCACGCTTTGTTTCAGGCTTTTGAAGTCTCAATCCTGATTGGCTAATATAACTTTCGGTCATTCGGTCCATCTGCCACGAGAGATTTATTCCCCCAGACCAAAAAGTGAAGAGAAAACAGGGCAAGACAATGAAGGCTACAGGAAACTGTTCTAGAGCATTTTGAATATCAATACTGATCAAAACATATGTCCTCCTATTAACTTGCTTTTATAATTTTTTTTAATCAAAACAGATACAGGTTTCCTCGTATCATATCGACTTGAAATCAAAATTTTTAAGTTAAAATCCCCCTAGGCATTTTTGTGGGAGGATGTTAACTTGGTTTTTAGTGGAAATTCAGCCAATTATAATCGAAAGTTTAATATGCAATACTAAACAACTTTAACTCAAATTAAATGATGGATTACATTCCAGATCAAATAAAATGATGGAGTAGATAACTAATAACAAGTTTCAATTGTCAATTCCTCTATTTAAGAGGGGGGTAGTATGGGGATGATGCTCAGTTGACCTCAAACCTTTATGTTTTTGGCGAGTTTCAATCACCTTTACATAGATCCGCTTTAATAAAAAGAGCTCCAGCGAGACTTTTACGCGAATAATTGTAGGTATACTTGCTATTTTTGGGTAACAATTACCATAATTGGGGCGAGGAGACTTTGTTTCTTTTTTCACTTTTCGAGTCTAGCGGGCAATAGGCCCAATCATGAAGCAGGGGAAATACCTCACGCCCATATGACTGTGGATAATTATGTTAAACAATGGCAATTGAAAAACTAGAAAGAACTGAAGCGTGAAAATGAATCACTTTTGACTGTGTAAAAGACAGTTTATTGGTTAGAATGTTTCTACTAATCGGTCCTTAACTCAAGAAAATATCCCTTTTTCTGTACAGAGCAAATATGCTGTGCTGGAAGTAGGCTTTAAGAACGCAAGTTCCAACTAAATCCCCGCCTTTTGGATTCTTTGACTAGCTGGATATTTTTGCTTTTATACATAGGTGATGCCCCGTGCTAAGCGGTATCCCGCCCGAGGAAGAGAAAGGGTAAATTTATCACTCAAGCCTTTAGTAAGCGGAGATTTGCTTTTGTAAAGGGGTCATAAGATACCATTTTCAATACCCAAGAGCAGCTCGCGTCCAGAGTACAAGCTTAGCTATACCAATGAGATATATTATAGATGCCTTCACCACAATTATCTATTCAAATATTCAATGGAAATGGTGTTTTTACAAAAAACATAAAAGCAAAAAGAAAAAAATGCTTATTTTTCTAGCTTTTTCTGCAAAATTTTCTACTGTTTTCATTAGCGGAGGAATCGGAATAAAATCTATTTTCTGCATGTTAAAGGTTGATTGAGCCATTTAACACTTACAAATAGTGTGTTAGAACGTTTAAAAACATTCCTTTGATAATAGTGTTTTTCTTACCTTAAAAGTGATCTTTAATTCTAAGTTAGCTACCAGTTAATTTAGGTGTATTCAAAGTCCATTGTATTTCGCGGCACTTTTCTAGTTGAATAGAAAAAACTCAGTTTTTTATTCAATTCTTTCCATCTTAATTTTTAAAATTTATTTAGTCGATTATTAAATATACCAGTGATATTCGAACACTCTTTGTTAAGGCGCAGTCAACTGATTCGAGCCTGCGGGGAGTTCGAACCTTTTGGCCAGATCATACTGTAGAACTCCCCAATGGAAAAACTGGATCGATGAGTTCCATCTTGACAAAATTGCAAAGAGGACTTAAATATCGATAGCTTAGAAAAAACCATTGAAGACGACGACAGAAATCCGAATCCTTGAATGTTACCAGGATCAACAAAATGAACAACAGAGGAAAGCTAGGTAGGCCAGTAATAAGACATTATGCGACTTTAGGAAATTGTAGAAGCAAAGAAAGTCGCGGAGGAAAAATGAAAGTTTGGTGGCATGAGATGAAACGAGGCAGAATAAAGGTCAAATCAGTTCTGTAGTTGGCCTTAGGATCACAAGGAAAATTAGCGTTCAGACAAAAACACCCTCGGGTGGAAAGTTTATCTGTCCCTTCTCAGTATTTCTTTGACCTCTAGTATCCGCATTCGTGAAACCGTCAAATATCACCTTCGGACGGTATAAATTGTTAAGCAGAAAACAGATGGACGGAGAGTCCTACGAACAATTTTGGGGAGCACTCTCAGACTTAGCAAGAGCTCTCGAGATATAGGAGTACAAACAGATCAGGAATGGATACGAAATGTGTTTATCATGTGAAACTGCGATCTCCAATGGAAACTTTTATCAGAATCCTTGGATGCAATGGATGCACTAAGCCAGACAGTCATCAATGAAAAAAGATTTTTAAGTCATCTCAAACATACAAACCTGTCAATAGGCAACAATAAAGGCAAGGGAAAAGAACCAAATTGAATATAGAAACATTTTACTTCTGTTTGAAATGCGATAACGCACTTACGAAAAGTCACCTTAACCTTTGCCGGGTGAAAAAAATATACAATAATTGTAAATACAAAGGGTCATTTTGCAATATTATCTAAGTCAAAGGCAAGAAAACGGACTGTAAAATACGGGAGGAAAATGTAAAAGGTCAAAACCGTCAATGTTCCCCAGTGGAACCACATTTGATACAAGAAGAGATTTTTAGGTGTGATAAACGCTTAAAAAGAAGGGGGAATCAGCGACAACGACGATTGTTTTGTTCCGAAGAATAGAACTATTTACGATGATAACGGTCTCGAAAGAAAAATGCTTGTAAACATTAGGCTTTTCGTAAGGAAGCAATTGTAAATATGATTATTCCATTGGACACGGCAAGTCCTGTCAGTTTCTCAAAACAAGCTTGAGCTAAAAAATTTTTGAGCTGAAATCGAGGGATCTATGAGTGATATTTTGTCAGCAGACAAAAAACACGCTCACTATTTTGTATTGTGGGTTCATCATCGATACCATAAACATCATTAAAAAAATCAATGTGAGTTTAATCCAATGGATGGAATTGCGACATATTTCCTTTTTTCCTTACGTCTGGAAAAGAAAAAAAAACTTCCATGTAACGATAACCAACCGATGCTAGGAAATGAAATTGCGCAGAAACCTATCGATTTTCCAACAACCAGTACAAACCTTTTCAAATGATTCCTCAACAGAATAGAAAAAATCTGTCGGGTAGAAAAGTCACACACTTTAAAACCAATCAAACCAAAGGTAGAAGAGTACTTTTACACGTACTAGATGAAAAGAATATCAAACTGGAAAAGATGCTGCGGGAGGAGCATATTGTCAAATTAAACAAATGTGATGAAAAATTTTTGTTTTTAACAAAATTGTTTTCACAACTTTCTAACAAAACGTCCGGCGAAGTGTGCTGGAACAACATTGATCTAAGAAACGCGTATCGTCAGCTAATGCAATTTAGTATAATGGGCGGTGAAACCTCTGGAACATATATTTCTATAACGACTCGGAGATTTGAAAAATAAATTTCAAGGAGACTTGGATTCGCTTTTATAACTATTCTTTTTACCAACTGTTTTATTGATGACGTTTTAAAATCCTCAAACGGTTCGTTAGACAAACACAAAATCATTTTTTGAAAAAGAATAAATGTCTTTTAAATTAAGATTATAGCAGCTGAATAGAAACAATGCATTTCCTTCCGAAAAGACATAGGATGGCTTTGGTTCAAAACTTCAGAAAAGTGTGTAACACCATTGGTTGGAAAAACGATTAGATTACGAACGTTGTGAATCCGAAAAACATATCAAAATTCAGATCAATAATTGGCTCAATAAGCCAATACTTTAATATTGTTCCCAATTTGTCTACATTTTGCTCACCGCTAAGCCAAAAATTAGTTTATCATTGGAACGAATACAGTTGAAGAGCTAAAAATGCAATTTGTAATTATTACTGAAAACAATTATTTAGACATAAAAAAGAATTCAAAACTACAAACTGACGCAACACACAAAGCATTGAGTCCCTTCGTAGAATTTGCTTCAAGAGTTTTAAAAATTCATGAAATTAAATATTCAACACACAATCTCGATTTTCTGGAAGTTGTATGGGCAACTGAGCATTTTTAAAATTATTTGTACGGGTCAGAATTCGAAAGAATAACCTATCGTAAGGCCCCACTGTCTGCCTTAAACGCAAATCATAGAAAAAACCATGCATGGCAGATTGCCCTGTTGGGTAAACAGACAATTATCTTTTTACTTCAAGATCAGACTTATTACAGGAGAAAAAATGGAATTTACTGATGTACGTTCAAGACTTTCTTCTGGACAAGCCTTCTCAACATGTCATTGAAACAAAACATTAGTGATTGCAACAGTGAAAAAAGTCTCGGAAAATCTATTGGTAGCCAATCATTGTGAAAAGAACGATATGTACACAAGAAATCCATCGGACGTAAATAGAGCTAATATTTTATCTCATCCTGCGGATGTACTCTCCCGTCGGGATGTACTCTCCCGTCACTGACTCAATTAGAATTTGCCATTCAAACCACTCACGCTCAGAATCTTGTACGACCAATTGTAATTCTTTGGACTTATCAAAACATGTCCAGACCCAGGAGAAACGCTGGTCCCCCAAATTTTCTGGAGAGAGGAGAATTGTGGACCGAGTATCACCAAGGGTGATCATCAACTTGAAAGAGGATGCGGACCAACTTCTAATTACAATGGCGTCATCCTCTAAGACCCCTCAGACAGGGAAACTTCACAATTCCGAAAACCCCAATGGGCGATAATGGCGCACAAC